GTTTCGGCCTCCATGAGCGAGAACCAATCAGAATTGGATTTTTTTTTAGGCCACTTTCAGCCCAATCCTGGCCCAACCAAAAGTGAGTTGTCGTAACTCTGGGTATAAAGGGACTCTAATCGATTCATTCTCGACGTTGCCAAGTGCTGTTTTACTAATATTTTGGTGATCTACTAATATTTTGGTGATCGATCATGTTTTGAGACAGACAGTAACATTGAAACAACCCACTACACTTACAGGCTGGAAGCATGGTAAAAGTTGGGTTTGCTGACTAGCCAGAACTCATGTCGGAACTTTTTTGAAGTACTTGAACTTGCAGAACCCGCAGACAAACAGTTGTGGAACATGGTAAGACTTCAATACTTATCTGTAATTCAAATATATTTGTTTAAGCCCAATGGTTGTATAGGTGCCTATGAATGGAAGCACAAGATAGTATTGTAGCCTCGATATCAAGGCTACAATACTATCTTCTGTTTTTATAATTCAAATGAGGGGCTTGGAGGTAAAGGCGCACAAGTGCAGTTTTTGAAAAAATTGAGATATTAATGAGTTCAATTATTCATATTTTAAGGTCATGCTTCTTTGTATGCTTTAATAGATACCGATGATGTTGCTAGATCAACGTATTTCGTCCAACATTAATTATTTTCGTCCAATATAACTGCAGATAGATATCTTTCGAAGCACATAAACAAGATGTATCGTCTGTCTCAAAAACATAAGTAAAACAGCACTTGGCAACGTCGAGGATGAATCGATATCTCGATAGATAAAAACCGACGTGGGCGCCATATTGCCCCCGCGCTCCAATAAAAAAAATATGTGTCTCCCGCGCGAGCAGTTTACGGAAATGACAGACCCGCGCCGCAAACCGATGCGCCCGCTTCACATGACTCTCCCCCCGCCGGTAACGTCTCCCGCCCGCGAGAGGTTTACGGAAAGGAACCCATACGTTTGAGTGCACTCGTTTCGGCCTCCATGGCCAGCCAAGGCCGCGGCTGTCAGTCAGCTGATAATCGAGTTGTCGTAACTCTGGGTATAAAGGGACTCTACCTGGTCGAGATGTTCCGGACTCATTTCTTCATTTACGTTTCTTCATCTCGACCAAAGAAGTTTCTCGCGCATTCAAAGTAACATTTTCCGGTTCCATTGTTAGAGAAGAAACAAGTCATTTTGTTGTAAGTTAGGATAATATTTGTGTTGATTAAGTGGCTTGAGCATTGGACTACCTGGCTGCCAAGGCGGATAAAGAATGGTGGTCGCATTTCGATTTTGGCTGCCATCTTGAAGCGTTGTGACGTCAAGAGGGTACGGGTTTTGCCGTGCAATCCGAGGTTGAGTCGGCCCCCCCGGCCTCGGCCAGCCCATGTACCCGATGAACCCGATACCGTGTGACGTCCAGAGGGTACGAAATGCGACCACCATTCTTTATCCGCCTTGCCTGGCTGCGCCTTGCATAGCTGCCTCTATATCAAGATGATTGGGAGAAAAACTTACTGGTTGATGTGCGAATCTGAATCCTAAATCCCTAGGAACGGTAGTTGTGAAATCCAGATGGATGTACAATGCTAGGTACCTTGCTCCTCACTCACTTTCTCATGGATGTTTGCTGGTCTTTCCAAGGTTCTGGTTTTGCGATGCGTTGAAGCCAATGCTTTAAGGTTAGCTATAACAACCAGGCTTCGGAGATACTAATTAACAATCCTAGCAGTCACCAAATTCTCCAGCAAACCCGCATAGTTGTCTATTAACAGCTGAAGAAGCAATGGAAACCGTATTTACCTACGACAACAAGATTTTTTCCGTTGGAACTCTGATAGTAAGTATGAGGGGGAACTATCACCTTTAAGGCACGTTTCTCCATGAATTTTCTTGTTTTTTTGGCATCAAACTAAGTAGAACTCAAGGAAAATGAGGCAAGACTTTACAAGTTACCATGGTTCATCTGCTGAAAAAATAGAAGAAAGTCTAAAATTCCTAATGAACATCACCAAGATGGTTCTGCCACCAGCAGTTCATTTTTTAAGGCACGGATCAAATACTGTGGTTATCTATTATTCTCACGGTGCCCATCAAATTATAGGTAAGAAACCTAGTCCTGTAATAATAATGGCATGGAATGACGGGCTCTAATTGGTGACTTGACCATCCCCTATAAGTTATCGAAAGAATTTACTTCTTAAAAGATCCTTTGCGAATGAAGCCAAGTAAATATGCGGATAAAAGTCCCGTGTGATATGTGAAGTGTACTTATTCAAAGTAATTTCAAAGGGAAGGGATGAAATGTTCAATAGGTAACGTCCAAATTTGCAAAGTTGTAGAGGCACTAGGCACAAATTGGACAAGGTGCCGCTAAGTAATGATTAAATGAATTTTTTTATTGTTATTAATTACGGAAAAGAGAATCAGGCCGAATGCCAAAATACAAAATTCGAAAAGTGTAGGGTGGTGTAGGAGCCGAACCTTCTTCGAGATTACGGGCGGCGAGCGGCAACCTGATTGGCTACGAAGATTGCCGAGCATGGCCGAAGGCCTACTCGCCGCTTGGTAGGTGTTGATGGCGGTTTGACAAACAGCAGTTTTTGGTGAAATGTGGTCCGGAATATCTGGGCCAATCTGTTCACTCGGTATTGGTTGTGACGTCACAAAATGGCTTCACTCTCCCGTCATTTGTAGTTTTAAATTTTCCCGCCAAAATTTTTTGAACTTTTGGGTGCTTTTTTGGGGTGTTTGGGGGGTCCAAAAATTCTGAGAAAAATTCATGAAGCTCAGAATGATGCACTTTATTAGAAAATGAATTAAAAAAAATAGGTGCAACAGACCCATTGAGCCTTGGCCGACTCAGAGGATCCTTCCCCCCGAACCTCGACTCATCCATCGTCCGTTCCAAAATAGAGTCCCTTTATACTGAGAGTCAAGACAATTCGGCTCATGGATGTCACAAACGGGAATAAAGATTACAGAAATCGAACGTTTTTCGTAATCTTTGATCGGCCCATTCTCGAATTCCTTTCTTCGTTCCTTCCCTCATTCCGTTTGTTCCTTGCCGAACCCGTAATTCCCCGGTCCATTCCAGATTATAATCTTTGCAATCGGTGAAACTGTAATCTTTATTCCCGTTTGTGACACTGTGAAGGCCTAAAATACGGGAACCAATCAGAAATGGATTCAAATTGTCTTGACTCTCAGTATAAAGCACAGATTAGTCCAGATCGCTAACATCCAATCTAGCCAATGCTTCAGAAGCGTGAGTAATTTTGCTTACAGGTTAGGCAACTTTAGAAAATTGATGGCACTACCAGTAGTGAAAGAACTTGACCGGATCGAGAGAAATTTCCTATTGAATCTGATTATAAAGCTTGAAAAAAGTATAAATAGTAATGTGTAATAATGGTTTTTGATCAAATAAGATTTTATCAAGTACTGTTATGCTAAGTATTCTGTTTCAATATTCTTACAACAGTTGGTAGCAATTAACTTCTCTCATGGGGGCCTGGCGGGAATTCAAAACTAGGAACCAAAAGTCTCATTTTGGAGGGATTTTGCTTTAATTTTCGGTTTCTAAGGCTTTAAACTTCAAAAATATGATATATTATAATCTGCAAATTTTTTCAATAATGTTATCTACTCAGTATACTGATGAACTCTGATTTGTTTATTTCCACCGATAAAGCACAAAAACATAGCCCGATTATACGAATAAAGAAGGAGAATTAATTAAAATACGGGTAAACAAGGCTAAAAATTATTGAAACACTTAAAGGCAGGACGTTTCGAGCTGCTACCAGCTCATTTTCAGCTGCAAAAACACATAAAAACAAGTAAAAAATTGAGTGGCGACCTGACCCCAGCCGTTATTATGAGTGGTTACGTGATAACGGCTGAGGTCAGGTCGCCACTCAATTTTTTACTTGTTTTTATGTGTTTTTGCAGCTGAAAATGAGCTGGAAGCAGCTCGAAACGTCTTACCTTTTAGTGTTTCAATAATTTTTAGCCTTGTTTACTCGTATTTTAATTAATTTTCCTTCTTTATTTATTTCCACCTTAATTATTTAATCTGGAAATATTGAACCACATAAATTCTACTGAGAGACTAATTCTTGAATTCTTCGGAACGTTTCATCCCACAAAAATCTGAAAGAGAAGTATTCTCCCGCCGAAAATCTGCTGAAAATAGCCAAAATTTCAGTTTTGGTTCCTAGTTTTAAATGCCCATGGATTTTCCCGCCAATGGCGCTCACAAAACTACTCACGCTCCTCCGCCAATGTTAGCGATCTGGACTAATCTGTGGTATAAAGGGACTCTATTCCAAAAGTGAGGTTAAGCCGAAGATTGAAAAATAACACACAAGGCGGCTGAATTCTTGAAAAATAAGTATATTTTTGGCGTTTTTCAACCCCTTTCACTGTGGGCCGACTTAGAGTCCCTTTATACTGTGAGTCAAGACAATTTGAATCCATTTCTGATTGGTTCCCGTATTTTAGGCCTCCACAGTGTCACAAACGGGAATAAAGATTACATTTTCACCAATTGCAAAGATTATAATCTGGAATGGACCAGGGAATTACGGGTTCGGCAAGGAGCAAACGGAATGAGAGGAGGAACGGAGAAAGGCATTTGAGAATGGGCCGATCAAAGATTACGAAAAACGTTCAATTTCTGTAATCTTTATTCCCGTTTGTGACATCCATGAGCCGAATTGTCTTGACTCTCAGTAGTATAAAGGGACTCTAGGCCGACTCAATCTCGGATTGCATAGGATTGCACGGCAAAACCCGTACCCTCCTGACGTCACAACGCTTCAAGATGGCGGCCAAAATCGAAATGCGACCACCATTCTTTATCCGCCTTGAGCTTTATTACTACTCTATGGAAGTGACAACGTGACAGCGGCTGCGGCATCGGGCATGTAAATAAAGCAAGTTCTATCTGGGAAATTCTACCTCAATCCAAAGTGAAAATGTCAGTGCATGAATGGGAAGAAGTCAAGCGTTTGGCAGCTGATTTTCAACGGGCTCAACTTACTTCTGCAGTTCAAAAGTAAGAAATGAAGTACTGAAAAATTATTCGAATGTGCCCATGCCGTTCTATCTCCAAGTAAACATATGTTCATTGTAGACACATATCATGTTATCATACTAGTTGTTTAATCAAAAAGTTCTATTGGAAAGCAGCATACGCGAGAAGACCTGCCTGATAGCAATTTGAACTGTAAAAATGCATACTTCAGTTTGCAGCTTCACAAACTTCCTGCTACACTCAATTTTCCAAATAGGAAACTGCTGAACATCATCTCTTGAAAAGTTCACTGACTTTTCCTCTCTCTGTGAGGAACATTTCAATCCATGATATTGGTTCAGTCTCCTATCACAGAATGAATTAAAGGTACCAGTGTTTGAAACACACGCTGGCCAAACAGCAATTTGCTGGTAAGAAATAGCCTTTGGCCGTTCAGAAACGAAAATAGCGCCCAAACCTTGACCGCTAAGAAAATTGTTGTTAAACTCTGTTTTTGGGATTTTTCAGTGCACTCTGCAAGATGACGTGTCGTGTCATGTCAAATTTGTAGACTAAGAAATTGATTTAGGTTTAACTGAGAGAAATGCGTTTCCCCATTTTTCTCACTCAATATCTGTGCTGAACCGGTTTAAGGCATCAAAAATTTATCTCGTCCCCAGATAGGTCAAGGAAGTCGCAACTTTGTATTTGTCAATTTTTTTTATACTGCTTTGCGCCTAATAAATTATACCAATCGGAGATGGATGGTGTCTCTGTCAGATCAGTTGGTATGGAATGACCCTGCTTTGATATGGAGCTCACAGAGATCTGGTTGTGCTGGCCGTCAGAAACGAAAGAGGAATCAGCCATGCAAATCAGGAATGGGGATAACCAATCTCCTTGGAAAATTCCCCTTAGTATATCATTATTTCAACGTAGTAAAACTGGTATTACGCTCAATGTTTTAATTGATTCCTAATTTTTTTCTTTTATGTCTCACTAGACTTTCGGAGCGAAATTGTATTGAGATTGTCAACAAACTTGTGGAATGCAAATTGTTAGACGTAGTTTTTACTACTGATGGCAAAGAGTATGTTACTCCGCAACAAGTTCAGAAAGAGATCAAAGATGACCTGTGCGTTCATGGAGGTAAGGAATTGGTATTTTCTTCTGATAGATAATAAAAAAATTAACTTTAATGTTACATAATGGTATGTGGGCAGAAAGTTCTCTGGAACAAAAATCAATTGCAATTGCAGTTTCTAATTTTATCACAGGAATTTGCCACGTCCTCTGACAATCGGACCGCGTTTAACAGAAAGGAACCTAGCCACATCAGCTATTGCCAAATTTAATCGGGCAATTTAAGTTTTTACGAGAGAAAGTCTGTGTGGATTTCTTTGAAAATTTTAAGGAATTTGCTTGGTACCATGGAGAAAATTCTTTAAAATTTGCACGAAAATCTGCACAACCGTTTTCATGTAAGAAATTTAATTGCCAAATCAAAGTTGACAACAGCTGATGTGGCTTGGTTCCTTTCTGTTTAACGCAGTCCAATCAATCTTCAATGTCTGTCAACCAAGTTGATTAAGGTGGCTTAACAAAGAATGGGAATAAGAGGGCTAATTTTATCATCTTTTCTTTATTAAAACTAATTAAGAAGCTGGTTACACAATTTCTTTTTATTGCATAAATAATAATAATTTTGGACTAAACTGAAGAACAAAATCCCTGGGAAACATTCGCTAGTATTGGCCCAGGAATCTGCTCTGTTAGGCACTGTCAGAATCCTCCGGAAGGTCTTAAGCTAGGTGGAGCAGCGCGAATACACCCAGAACGTTCCCACACACCAAAAACACCCCTACCCCCTACCACCTCTGGACAGAAACCTCTAGGCATGCGTCCTCCAGACACCTACCCTGCCCCGGTTCCTAAAACAGGTATCCTAGTCCGTGACGAGCCATCCTCCAAGGGGGAGTGAAATAATCACCACCCGGCCACCCAAACCACAAACAGCCCTCATACCTAGGAGCATTGTTAGCCATGTGTGAGGGCTTAAAGCAACCCAGCAAAGCTGGTGACAGCAGTGAACATGGAAAATAATAATAATAATAATCTTAATAATAATAATAAAAAAAATAATAATAATAATAATCATAAATCTGCAGGGAGGACTGCCTATGGTCTGGGGTATTGACGCACCTCCTTTCCCGAGTTACTCTGGACGCACACTCTATGTGCCAAGGAGTACTTAATGAAAAGCCCAACCCGGGGTGTTATGCGAACCGTGCCCATGGGGTCCCTTGGCACCAGGGCGCTTATGCTGGTGTCGACCTACGGAGCCCTGGGATACCAGGCGCCCTCCTAGAGTTAATATAGCCTTACCCGGAAAGAGGTTATGGGTGGACCCTCTTAAATACTCATCTTACTCGTGGGAACAAATATGGAAACGCGCAGCTCTAAAACAAGAAAAACCCAAAACTACAAAGGAAAAACCGACCGAACCGTTGATAATGCAGAAGAATTGACTCAGGTCTCTGGGACAACACGGAAAAGAACGCAGAAACAACAGAATCAGCTGAATCAAACACCACAGGCCCAAAGCCCACCACCAACTAGCCCTGCCGGTACGGTAAGAACACAAACGCACAGCCTAGGCAAGCAACAGAGCGAGTGAAGTGGACCACAGAAGAATATAAAGAAATAATATGGTGCTACTGGTACATCAAAGAGAGTACTCAAAGCTGCAATATAAACGCCAACTATGACCTCCGGAGAAAAAGGAACCCGAATACCCACCCGCATATCGATGCAAACAAGCTCGCCACACAAAGACGATTCATTGCATAAAACCAAAAACTAAGTGAGGCACAAATTGATGAAATCAAAGCTGATGTAGCCGCAAACCTAGCAACACAATGTGAACCGGGCGTCACCAGAAAAACCAAAAATACCAATAACAACAAAAACTCCCCTACCACAATGAACAACGCAGCCAACCACACCCAGAGAGTACAATGGAGCGAAGAGGAGTACAAAGAAGTCATATGGTGCCATTGGTATAGTAAAGAAAACACGGGCATCCACAACCTAAAGGCCACCTACGAGCTATGGAGGCAACGAAACCCTAATGCCCGCCTGCATCTCAACGCTAATAAGCTAGCCACGCAACGAAGATACATCGAGAACAAGAAAAAACTAACCGAACAACAGCTTCAAGAAATTAAAGACGATGTTCACTCCACCATAGAGGCACCCACTGACCAACACACAACTGAAAGCTCATCAGGTGATGCCACAAACGACGAGAACCGCCCGTCGAGACGGAATGATCCAACTGACTCCAGGGAATCAGAGTCAACGCCAGACACACCTCAAACCAACGAAACTCCCAGAAGGAGTAGGCAGCACGACGACGACGACGACGATGACGATGATGACCCACATCCATTGTAACCCGAGTAATTGGGAGACATGTAGCTAAGTGGAAAATTTATGTGAAGAGCAGAAAGGGTGTCGCAAGGGAAGCTTCGGGTGCAAAGAGCTGTCAATAATCGATTCGGTTGTGCTCAAGCAGGCTGTAAAGGAACGTCGTAACTTACATGTGGGTTACATCGACTACAAAAAAGCTTTTGATTCAATGCCGCACAGCTGGCTAATTCACGTTTTAAATATCTACCGAATCCATCCTGTCATTGTTCATTTCCTGAAGAGCATTTTGGCATCTTGGCGCACCAGAATCATAATTCAAGGATCGGCGAGTGAATTGGAAACTGAGGTCATCCACATCCTGCGAGGTATTTTTCAAGGTGACAGTCTTAGTGCATTGTGGTTCTGTTTAGGCCTCAACCCCCTCTCAAATTGCATTCGAGAGATGAAGGTAGGGTTCCCTCTTCGTCGGAACAGACAAGTACTCCACATCATCAACCACCTAGCCTACTTGGATGATATTAAGATCTGTGCATCCCAAAGAGACCAGTTGCATCAACTTTTCAAGGTGATTGAAGAGGTCAGTGATGATATTGGCATGATGCTTGGAGTACCTAAATGCGCGACGCTCCATATAGAAAACCGCGTCATAGTGCAGGAGGATGATTTTGTGACCAATTCTGGTGACGTCATCAACAGCTTGACAATGGAAGATGCTTATAAATACCTTGGAATGTGGCAGAATTCTTCCATCCAGAAGGTGAGAGTCTAAGAGCACCTGGTTAACACCTTCGTTGATCGGCTGAGTGCGATACTTAAGACCTCTCTAAACTCGAAACATACGACCAAGGCAATCAACACCTTCGCCATTCCTGCGTTAGCCTACTCATTTGGCATTGTCCCGTGGTCTGACACGGAGCTTGAGGGGCTTAATAGGAAAGTCAGAACCTTGATGACCAAGTGGAATAAGCATCACCCAAGTGTCGCGAAGGAGAGAATACACATCCCCCGCAAACAGGGAGGAAGAGGTATCCTTGATGTGAAGGAGGTCTGCCACAGCCAAGTCCGTAACCTGCGAAATTACTTCCTCAGTAGAAACGACAGCCCTTTGCACGCTGCAGTAAATACCATAGACAAATCCTACACGCCTTTGCGCCTTGCTTGTCACGATTTGAATGAAGAACAACCCTCAGACCCAGTTGCTGGCCAGTTAGAAGCATGGGCCTCCAAGCCGCTGCATGGACGCTTTTATCATTCAGTTGCGCAGGATCATGTTAGTGAAGGAAAGTCTTTCTTGTGGGTATCGAAAGGGCAGCTGTATCCAGAAACGGAAGGATTTGTTCTCGCAATACAAGACCAAGTGATCAGTACCAGGAATTACAAGAGGTATATACTGAAGGAGAAGATCAAGAGCGATAAGTGTAGGAAGTGTAACGCTACATCCGAGACAATAGATCACATTACATCTGGTTGCGCATTGCTTGCGGGGAAGGAATATACCGAGCGGCATAACAACATGGCTAAAATTATACATCTAGCGCTGGCCAAGGATCGAAAACTATGTGATACTGCTGAACCCTACTACAAATATTGCCCAGCCACAGTCCTGGAAAATCAGCGCTTCCGGCTCTATTGGGATAACCCGATCTTAACCGATAAAACCATTATGGCAAACAGGCCGGACATAGTGCTTGTAGATAAGCGAGATCGCACCACTTACATCATTGATATTAGCATCCCTAATAATCATAACTTGGAGCTGAAGTATCAAGAAAAGATGGTAAAATATCTGCCCTTAGCTGCAGAAATGAAGCGATAATGGAACCTGAACATTGTTTGCATCAAGCCCCTTATAATGTCAGTAACGGGGATAGTTCCAAAAAGTTTAGTTCAACATCTTCGAGACCTTGGAATAGATAGTTACCTGCTTCATTCAATGCAGAAGTCCGTCGTCATAAGCACGTCAAGTATTGTCAGGTCGTTTCTTAATATCGAGTAATTTTTTGATTTCACTTAAAATTTAATTTTTTTTTTAAATTATTTAATTTTACTATAAAATAACATTCACTTTTTATTCAAGCAAGATAGTATGTGTTGCTGACTTTGGCCTGTCGCCCGTCAGTAATACTTGTACCGGAAGTGTTCCCTCTTCCGAGTTAGGAAAAAAAAAAAAAAAAAAAAAAAAAAAAAAATAAGAATAATAATCTTTACTTGGTTTAGATTGGCCAAGGGACAGCTGTGATCCACATCATTTACATACATTAAGAATTCATTTACATTACAATACAATTACATTAGGAATTCATTGTTAGAATAAAATGCCTCATGAAGGAAGAGCTGCTTAAAACTCTGTAGAAAAGATGAAAAGTCTGCATTTTTGAACAAAAGCCTTAAGTTTAGGGGTAGTGCGTTGAAAAACTGAATCGATGAGAATTTTATGTTGGATTCAGAGACTTTCAGAGATGTTTTGATGTTTTTAATACTGTTACGCCAAGAATTATAATGATGCTTTGGAATCAGATCAGTTGGTGTAATTAGAGCATTATCAATGGCATATTTAATACTTTGGAAAATATAGAGAGATGGTTGAGTGAATAGTCCATGATCTTTAAAAAGCTGCTTACAGGGATGGTTGAAAGGTTTATTAAACATAATACGAATAACTTTCTTTTGTTCAATGAATACAGACTCTGCACCACTACTTCTGCCCCAGAGGATGA